CTACGCAAACATCTGCTGAACCGAACCCACTCAGGGCCAAACTGGAGAGCACAACTGATTAGCTGGAGCCTTTGGGAGTATGCTCACAATTTATGTTTGTCTGAGTCACCAGCCCGTGTGCACATCACTGTTCTCTTTTTTTCTTCCTTATTTTTAAGGTGGAACAAGATTATTATTGGGTAAAGAAATGGCACTGGTGCTTATTTCTCCCTTCCAACCTCCCAGACTTGTTTCTGTCATCAGCTTGTTACAAAATGCTAACCAATTCTGAAAACCCATGCACTGCTTTTTTTGAAGGGGAACTGCTAACACACACAAAAAAAACCCACACACAAAAACCCACCATCAGCACCAACTACAAACAAAGGAACCAGAAAATGAACCTAACAGTCTTGGGTTGCTCCTAACAATCCTGGGAGCTGGACTTGTCATTCAGAAATAAAACATGAAGCTATCTCAATTTTTATTTCTGTTCTGCTTTGTGATGCAAACCAATAAACCATCTGTACCTTTTAACGTGAGATTGGCTGGAAGGGAGATACAGAAAGCAAGCTAGCAAAAACCATTCTCTGTAGCCAGGTAAGAGAAAAAGCTTTCAGTTATTACTCAAACTCCCATCATATTCTAAAACATTTTAAAATGACAGACAGCTGAACAACATTAATAATTCAAACACAAATTCAAGTAACTTTGCTAAAGCGAGAAAGTTTTTTTTCCTAAAATCCTAGCTACTTTCTAATTATCTTATGCCACTTGTCAATGAGATGTAACCTACCTCATCATCCATCTTTGAGCAGAGATGATGATGATTTGCAATGCAAAAAAATCAAAGACAAGTGGGAGGTTCTCCAGGAAGTGTTTAGTTAGGATTTCTTAGGGTGCACCTATATTTACAGTATATCCAGATATTATTTCTGGTGGAAGAAACAAAAGATAGGTTGTCACTAGCTGAAGAAAACAAGCATGTAGACATGCTCACAACTCCTCAACAACTTTGCATCATTAGCACTCATTCAGAGGTTACTCACACATGTCCCACTCTGCTGATAGCACCTAATTAGAAAGCCTATTTAATCAATGGCAGTTCTGATCGTGCCACTTAGGTGTGAGTTAGGCTGAATCATTCAATGGAGGTTCCAAGCCCTGACTATTGACTTCATAGTGAACATGGGTTATCAAAGCAGACTGTGTGAATGCCTTGCCCTTCCCAGAGCATGCATCTTTTTTTCTATTTTGCTTTTTAAGAAACACTAACAGAGAGGCAACAAGAACATAAGAATCACTCTCCATCTTTCCCATTCAAAAATTTACCTACTTACAGCATAACACTAGGTAAGATTTTAGCTTTACCACAACTGCTAAGAGTGCAGCATGAACTACTAGATGGAATTATCATACAGATATCAGAAAAATACTTGCCTATCACTGAAAAGCGTCGGATACGTAAACATTTTTTCAAACAGCGATATCAGGAGACCCTCTATAGCACTAAAAGGACCCATAAGCCATTTCTGCTTTAGTGTGACACGCACAGCAAACACTGTGGACACATGAGTCTCTATCAAAACCAAGTGCCTAGCATAAACACAGGTTCCTAGCCTCACAAGTATTACTTCCATTCAGTACATGTTAGGTGACGTGTTCTACATAAACCAACCCTTCACTCTTACCAAAAACTGGGGGAGAAAACCTCATCTCCCTGAGTGAACAACTGTCCCCTCCTGCCCTCATTACACAAATTACATATAGAACAACGTAGATGCAGTGTTGGTGGCTCACCAATGACATCTCTCTCGCTTCAGTCACCCTAAAGCAAACCCTGCTTTCATGAACGAATCACAGCAAAATCAGCAACATCAGGTATTAGTATCAAGTATTTCCCAAGACATCAAAAAAACCACAAGAATAGAAAATAATGAACTATTCTTTGTTTTTACATTTCCAGGTAAATGCACCACTTTTCTAACTATGCTGCATGCCTAGGTTGACACAAAGGATACTTACTACTTACTCCAAAATCAACAAGCAACTAATAGGAAAGTACAAACCTTGGCTCATTCAAGCTTTAAAAAGAAACACAGAAATGACAGAAAAGACAGCAATAGTCCATTAATGGAGGAACCATTTGCCATCAATACTGGCAATAGGTTTCACCATCTCAGTCTGCTATCCGAGGCACTAATTAGAGAACAGGTGATTTTCTCCACAAAGGCTCTATTGGTGGAGATGCACACTACTAACAAGAAACCAATACTACTGGAGAAGAGATGGGAGACCGAGGAGGATAAAGGAGGATAAAAAATGAACCCAGATGATTAGAGTACAGATCTAGACAGAAGGAACACTATTATTCCATTAACACTTGGACAAAACAGCAAACAGTGGCTGCTATCCGTACCTCTGTGTTCATTCATTTCAGAGTAAAACCTGGCTCCACCTGGGATCCAGCTGGAGAAGATGCTTTCAGACAGTTGATCATCAGTCCGTTTCAACTTACCTGGTTGCCTACGTTCCCCAACATTCTGTGCTCCAAAGTACAACGTATATTGATCAATAATTTCCACAGGGAAAAGCTTTATTATTATCTATTAAGCTAAAAACTATTGTTGTCCTATGTGAGACCAATAGCCCTTGTTTTGATGTTCCAGATTAACACTAAACAGAACAGCTAACAGTGTTCTCCGGTTAAAAGCTCTGAGGAGTCAATTCAAATATTCTTTCCGCACTTTGATAATACAATAATTACACTGATCAGAAACACATGCTCAGTGGATCATACTGGAGCATTTTTCTCATTGTCTGGTACCACAAAACACATCTGGGTTTTATTTGTCCCATGTAAGTTAATAAGAGTATGGGCTTTTTTTTTTTTTTTTTTTTTTTAACAATAAGCAAGATTATCCTAAAAACAATTTTTTTAATAACAAGAAAAGGAGGAAACAACTCCAAGTTTCATCCAAAACTGGGTAACTGTAAAAACAGCTTTCTATGGGAGTTATTTCGCTATTAGGCTATCAGTGAAGAAGGAAAAAAGAAAGTTACAGGAACCATATTACAATGACTCCACGTACAAAAGTATCTCATGTCAATGGAACCCAAGATGGAATGCCTCCCTGATCTGCTCAGATCTGAATCAGTACAATTTAAAGTGCCAACACATTGGCATGAGAAGATGCTAAGCTCCTTCTTGTTACTCAGCTCCCAACTTGGTAGAATTGGAAACTTTCAAGCTTATTGCTGGAGCATAGGGGATGTTGACACCTTCCAGATTTTCACTTTACTGGACCAACCCACAGACAGTATGGTGCAAGGAACAGCAGATGGCTTTTCTTCTGTTACCTCTGCTTCCTAAGTACGAAGCTGAACATTGTTCTTAAACCATGCATATTCAGCTCTCGCTAAAAGGAGAAAAAGGTTTATTTATATATGTTAAAGCCTTTCATCCCACATTATATTTGTCCCATTCCAGAGCATCTCTGTGTATGTTCATATGATTTGAATTTCAAGTGCCTAAAGGAAAGCAATTTAATCTTAAGTACAGAGTTTTTGTTTTAATCTTAATGCAAGATACATGTTGAGATGTTTGATACTCTCCGTGCTTTCATTTCCTCCCTCTTAAAAAGACATGACACAGAACAGGGAAAGTACTGGGAAAAAAAAAATCAAAACTTTTTTCCTGTTTCACATTTTACCTTACTCAGATTAAGGCTTTAGTCTAATTAGAAGAACTACCACAAACCTTTTCCAGCTGATAATGCTCTCTTCAGGCCTTACCACTGGCAGAAGACAGAACATTTGGTCTGTGCTGAAGTCCAGTGTGACCCCAGCAGGACATGACATTTCTCCACGTATTAAGCAATTTCTGTGCTTGCACTTTCCACTTTACACATGAGGTCATGCATTACACAGTTCAATCCCATATCTTTCTTACAGGATCACAGACCTCTGTGAAAAAAGGCTAAACTCTACCATGTTCTAATGGGAGACAATTACACTCTGGGAATCTAAACAGAGAGCAACAAAGGTGTTTTTTTTTCCATCATGTAATTGAATACTACACAGTTTTCCTTTCCCAGAGCTTGATGAAAAGATAGAAGCCATCTTTGATTACACTTTGAAATATATAGAACAGTGCTATGGAGAAAGTCTCACTGCATGTTACCCACCTGTTTTTGGACATAATGTCCTGTTTCTCCTACAGATGTAACACAGAGGTAAAAGAGACATGCTTGGAGAATGCAGTGCAAAAGTTAGAGAGGGTACGAGCAATTTGAATACAAATCTTAGAGGAAAACAAATTGTGCACTGAATTGACTGCAAAGCATCTCTTACTCCCAAACTTATCTGCATGTAAAAGGTCTGTTGATAAACGTGAAAATAAACACATGGAAAATTGTAAGTACAGACTGTTAAATCAACAAAGAGACATGTAAATAAACAACAAAATAGACACGCTGATCAATTATCAATCCAGTCGGGTCTGATCCTCTTCTCCTGACATTAAATGTAAATCTAGCATAAATGCAATGACAGGTGTGCTTTCCTAGGTCATCTGTGACACAGAGGGCTTTTACCCAACAGGTAGGAAACACTGTTGTGTTCTCTGGACTGTGATACACAGGGGATGAGACAAAACCACCACAATGGACTCTTCAAGGTCTATGAATCATTGAGCATTGGTACAGGGGGAATCAATCCAGCCGTCTTGGATTAGAGAGCTGGTATGATCGCAGTTAGTTTTATCTGCTATAATTGTGTAAATTAAATATTTTTGGAATTTGTGTAGCAACTGGCGATACTTCTAATTAGCACAGGAAAACATCCATCTCCGTGTCTGCTATATTACTTATCAGTGGAGGAAGAAATAGAAAAAGCTAAGTTAAGCTAGTGGGCAGACGGAGATTGGTTATTTACGCTCATTTCCACATAGTAAGGCACTTTCATTTCAGCAGTAATGCTATGCTGTTCAGAGACGTGTGTTAAAGTTGAGATACACTTACAAAGTAGCCTGTTCCCAAGCTGGAAGGAGCTGAGCTCTGCAATAAAACACAAAGACAAAGTGGAAAGTCAGTGATGGTTTTTAACACGTTCCAATCCACATAGCTCATTACCAGCCCTTTCCAAGCTTTTCATCACTACATCACAGCACCAATGTGCTGCCCCTTGTCATCTGCTACTGAAACAAACACGGTGTTGCTTAATTTTTCCCTTTACATCTCTCAACAACTCTGAGATGGTAACGTGCTATTTACTGAATTCCAAGCTTCTGCGGTGGACGTAATTGCCAATTTATTTGACAGGCAGCTGGGTAATGAATTAATGATGGCATTTCGCCCTGCACTGAGACTAAACAGACACTCATCAACCAGCCTCCCTGACATGCTGACATTCAATGCCCTGGACTCCAGCTACTCAGCTTTGTGGCCACAAAGGGGCAGGCGGGAGGGGGAAAGGAAAAAAAAAATTAAAAAAAAAAATGTAGGCTGACTTCAAAACAAAAAGCCCGGTGGGTTTAGATGACTTTTCCAGTGTATGACCTGTTTGCCAATTTATTCCCAAAAGGCCCTGGTTAGTACACACATACTGCTTCTCTAAAATGAGACGTTTTGTAAACATAATTAGTAGTCTGAAATGTAAAAGAACGCGTGGGCACAGAGAAGCTGCTTCAGTCCATGTACCATTTCCTGGAGAACAGTCACTATGATTTCCCACTTGGATGTCCACGCTCACAGATAAACCAAGGATTTAAAAAGAAAAGCAAAAATAAAACAACTAAACCCTACAGTGTGAAACTGATTCCAAAACTCCAAACCGCAAGAATAATTTAAACCAATATTACTAAATTGGAAAATAATCAAAAGGTTTAAATGCTTTAAAAAAAAAAAAAAAATAGGCATCATGAAATTCATTTTGAGTGGGACGTGATCACAACCTCTACATTCACAGGAATTAAGGAGATAAAGGGTTTTGTTTCATTAGTTTTTCATCTCAGCAATGGGGATTACACAGCAGGTTCTCTTAGAGCCATGGTGAGAGAGCGAAACATCTCAGGCCTAATCCAGGTCACTGCTGTTGTATTAAAGGGTGATCAGTTCCAACGCTCCAACCCCATCACCTGAAAGGCTCTAAGCCAGGCTGGTCAATGGACAAGGAAACAAAAGGCAGAGGGTAATTCTGAGGCGAGCAGTAGGAAGCTCAGATGACCAACCTTCAGCTCCTGCAGCTCAGTCTGCATTGCAGCACTGTAGTACAAATGCTCTTCCACTGCTGCCAGAGCTCTGCCACTACCAGGACCCAACCAGCCCCAGCCGAACGTTAGAAAGAAGCAGGATTTGCATCCCTGCCAGCCCTACTGCAGGGAACCCTGACAGCAACCCCCTCTACTTCTGATCTCCAAGTGAAGCGCTGACACAAAATGAAGCCAACCCCACCCCCAAGGGGCTGACTCAGTCTTTTCACTGAACCCTGTGCAGCAGAAATAGTGCCAAGAAATTTTAAATTAACAGCCGTACTCATTGCAAATAATCAGAATATTACCATGTGTGCACCAAAGCACTACTAAAAAGAGAGGTTTAGAGAGTTTATGTACATATAGGGAAAGGCTTTTTGGTTTAAGCCATTAAAAGTTAAAGACTTAGCAGGAAAAAATCATGAGGAATGGATGCCCCATCCCTGGAGGCATCCAAGGCCAGGCTGGATGTGGCTCTGGGCAGCCTGGTCTGCTGGTTGGCGACCCTGCACATAGCAGGGGGTTGGAACTGGATGAGCATTGTGGGCCTTTGCAACCCAAGCCATTCTATGGTTCTATGATCCTGGCAATCTCAGGGGTACCAACACTGCAGTATTAACAGACTCTGCTATGGAAATTTGGAATTCCCAGTGCAGGGATGGGAACAGGTGGCCACAGGCAGTCAGGTAAACACCACAGCACAGCCCTCACATGGCTGCCAAGTCCCCTCCAGGGGCCATGCGTGGGCTTTCATGAGCTACTGCTGCCCACAGCTCTGTAACACCAGGTTGGAAGGGCTGCATGGATGCTGAACAAGTCCCACTCTTTCACTCACAACTTACAAAACTTACTTCAAAGGCTGAACGCTCCGAAGTTTGCATTCTGCATCTGTGTGCAATTTTTGTCTGCTTTTTATTCCAAGCTTTGGAAGGATCAAATATCAAAACACAACACACAAAACAAAGAAAAAAGGAATAAGCAAACAAAATGCTTCCCGCTGAATATTTCCATTCCTTCAAAAGCAACGCTGCAATGGCTATGAGAGGACAGCTAAAACATAGCAGTCAAATGACTTTTGCTGAAAAGAAATAATTTTGTGCAATTTCAGGGAATTCGACTCTGCTTGATGGAAACACAGCCCTCCACAAATTGCATGCTGCATATGGATAGTACACTCCGCATACTCTGTTCAGTTTAAGTAGCTACAAAAGACTGCATTGCACATGCATGAATGACTAAGTTAGCTGCGTTGTGAGCTGTGTGCTGACAGAGCGTACGGGCTGAAGCAAGGGCTATGCAAGAAGGCAGCTTCTCACCTGGTTTTTTGACAACTCCCAATAGCGAAAGGATCCTACTACCCAGTGCCCAGCCTTGGTACCAACTGATGAATGTGATACTGTGTATGCAGCATCTTTACAAGACCATGCTGAGTCGTGATTCTGCACTGGATGGTTCTACATCTCTTATATAAAGCGCGCCTATAATAGAGGGAACGGTTTCACTTTCCCCCTTTGCAAAATCCAACATCAGGTTCACCGTTTGATATTCACACAACCACCAGCAGAAGCCTGCACAAGGTGCCCATCAGCAAAACACAAGCCTCTTGCTTAAAATTAACACCATTTCGGTTTTGTTATTCTCCTTCAGCTCTTTTCTAATTATTTATTTCTTCTTTTTGAAAGAGAACAACTTTTGGCCCAGGAGCAAAAATGTAGTAACTCTCTCGTAAGCATTACTTTACTGTGTACCAATGAAAATTACATCCTTGAGGTCTTGGAAGGCACAGTTATACCCATTTTGCATATAGATTGTGCATTACTTGGGGAGCTGGGTGGGGAGGAAGGCTGTGTTGTATATATTTGTTCTGGCTATTGTTTATGCAGGTCTGACTGAATGAAGGAACAGTGGGTATCATTTCAATTTCTGATGTCAACATCAAATTACTTATTTAATTTCATGCCTGGCGAAGCATTGTATAGCTACACGCAGAATCATTTCACTTCATTTGTTATGCTGTGTTTTCTTGGCGATTGGCTTGCCTTCCAACTGACAGCTTTAATTACGACATGAATTTGATTGCACTGCCGAGGAATTAACATAATGCAACAAAGCATTTAAGCACCCAACCTTAGACACACAAACACACACATACACACCCTCACACACACACAAAGCAGCAGCAACTGCAGCTGATCAGCTTCTGGCACACACACACACAGCTTTGCTGGTGTTATCCCACTTTAGATACAGCCAAGATTACTGGGGATATTCTGGAGGAGGAGAAGCGCTCAGGATTTCAAAGCACATAACCCAAAGACTGTTTCTTAATTTGTCTTTGGGTTTCAGACAAAGGTGGGAGGAACGGGAGGCAGAGAATTGCACGTCTCATATTGAGGCAGAAACCATGAGCCATCCAAAGCCATTGCTGGGTGCTGAGACCTTTCCTGCCTGCAGACAGCAGCGGAGCTGTGGGCAGGGCACGCTGACTCAGCACCTCCCTGGGACTTGTTCTAAAGAGTGAAGTACACAGCACAGTAGGTGCACACAGCTACAACAGCAGGGAAGTAGGAGCTCAATGGAAGAAGTGTGCGAGCTCTGCTGTGACCCTTCATGCTAGTGAGAAATGGTGTCATCATGAAAAAAAGAATTATCCCTGTCCCACTTCCTGTTCAGAACTGGAACAATATTCCAGACAGATGCCAGAGCTGTTGCTGAGTTATTTCTCCCAGTGTGTGACTTCTTGGTCAGCAAACAGAGGCCAGGCACTCCGTGCTGCTGCTGTGTAGGGAAAGACCTGCACTGCCCATCTTGTTCCAGGACCATGTTTTTCAGTGCCCATCTTTTCCTGACCATCCTCTCTCATCAGCAGCCTGCTACCAGCAGTGCTGAGGGTGCCTGACACAGCCTGTACACCCTGACCTCCCAGAGCAAACTCGCACTGCTACTGCATCCCAAAATGATGAACAAGGTCCATTTTGCAGCCATCACATTTTTAGCAGGACTAGCAATGAGCTGACAGGCGCGCACGAGCTTCAGATCTGCACCAGGTCAGGAACTGAGGGATGCGTGCCATAGAAATGAGTTTTTGGGTTTGATTTTGATTAGTGTGATGGTGGGCTAAATCCCCCAATACTCTGTGCGTTCACCATCTAGCTCTGATGCAATTCTCACATTTCCCTCCAGTGATCTCTTGGCTGCTTGTAAAACACGGCTAAAAGGAACCTCATGCACTCCAAAGCAGGAAGATTCAATTAAAAACAAATACACACAGAAACGGAAGAAAAACAAGAAGACTGAGCTCCAAGCTGTGGCAAAGCTGCCATCTTGTCTCCAAGCAAGATCTCAACAAAATGAATTCTACTGCTGGCAAGATTTTGATGAGATTAAATTGACTGCAGCACCCTATGTATAAAGGAGGAGCAGCTCTCCAATTTCTCCTTCAGGCCCCTGGAGCTACCTCTGCCCATAAAGGAAAAAACAAGTTGTCATTCCAAAAAAATACAACATGGGGTAAAAAGGGTTTATGAAATGGGATTCAGATGGGGAGATGTATTAGGGGACTGGCAAATGCTTGCAGAGGAGCACTTGAGCAGTCGTTATCCCCAATCTAGCAGAGGTCAGGTTGCCTGCTAATTATGTTCTCTCGCAGAGGTGCGTGTGGATGTGCGCCTGCGCACATGCGTGGGGGATGAAGAGAAAGGAGCCGATGGAAATCAGTTGCATTGCATTGTATTTGACAAGAACATAGGATATTCCCCTTCCTGCTGTCTGATGCTATTTCAAGCCTCATTATGGGAAAAGCCTCCTGTTTAACCTGGTCTTTTCACTGAATTATCTTCTTTTCATTTTTGACCACTTCTCTTGAAAACGCTGCAAATTACCTGCTTGGATCTCATTAGCCTGGAAAAGTCATCCCTTGTAAACACATTTTGCATCAATCTGCATTATCCAAGGACTATAGGTACATTTACAATATGCAAAGTTGAAAGATATCTGACAGGAGAGGGAACGAAGACACTGACATGCCAGTTTGCAACTGGATATTCATTATACTGTCTGCCTCATTCTGCATCTGTCACTAAGCTATCACTTAGGCTCCACATTAAAGCTCATGAAGCTAACATTTCTGTTTCAACAGCTTACTTAAAACTAGGCATTTGAAAATTGATCATCCACCTAGACTATATGCACTTCATTCATTATACATATTTTCATGCAATAGCCATGGTTAATCTTACAATGCTGTAGGGCAGTATCAGTGGAGATTCATCATATTTCAAGTCCCAGATTTGCTTTCTGACCTCAGGGCTAATCTGTCTGGAGTATTACCTTTTTTTCTTTCAATTTTAAGCAGAATACACACTTGCTGTGTATTGTTTCTGAGCATTTTTAAAATCAGGATCTTCAGAGAGAGCTTAGTCTTCTGGCTGCAGTTTATATTCTAGATAACCATTTGTTGTAACATTTGACAACTCGTTTCTTCCAAAAAAAATAAAAAAACCCCAAACATTTAACCCTATTAAGCTAATGATGCTTCTTGGTGCAGACAAGCACAGTTCAAGGTGGGCTCTCCCAAAACTACATATGAAGCAAAATATGCCTTTGCATGGCCCTGTCTAATAAAGTGGGGTGTTTGCCTTCAGAAGAGAGAGAAATGCAGAACAGTGTTTACTTTTCTTAACCAAAAGGGTCTGGGAGAAGCAGAAGGCCAACAAAGACACAGGTAAGGACACCATACCTCCCAAATGCTTGTGAAATCTCAGCTGAACTGGCAACACCAGAACACAGAAAGACACACTTGTATTGCAATCAGTTATCAAAGCATAAAGGAACTTCCTTATTAAGCAAAATATAAATTATGCATAACTTGACTTTAAAATATATGTTTTCAGATATATTTGAATAATGTTTCTTTTCAGCAACCTGTGTATCCCTGTGTTCTCTCTTCGGTGCAGCACTAAGGAACTTGTGTTTGTTCTCCCCTTCCTTTTAACTTGTCGTAGTGCCAAGACAAACACAAACTACTGGAAGAGTATAAGGAGGGGAAAGTGTTTAGAGGAAGGGGAATCAGGGTTCTGTGCTCACAGCCAGGCCTGGCACTGCACTGCTGAGAGCTGCTGGGAAGCTCCAGTAGAGCCTCAGAGCTCTCCATGCAGCACACTGTAAGGGAGCAGTCAGGTGAAATCAAAGCCAGCTTTGTAAGGAGTGGTGTTTTTCTTTTTTTTTTTTTTTGCTAGAAGATGCTCTGTAGCTGTGAAGTTCATCTCAGAGGCTTCTAAGCTGCCACAGGGCTCAGAGCAAGCTGGCAAAATTGGCAGGCTGATGGTCAGCTGCCATCCACTGCTACCTGTACTGAGCATTTACTCACTGCCTCCTCCGTTCTCCTCTTCCAAAGGCGCCTTATAGCACTGAGGCTACCCTCACCTGGCAGCTATGAGAGCAGGATCTGAAGCGTCTAATGTGATGCACCCATAAAGGATGGTTATAGCAGAAGAATGGGCCCGTAAAATAATCTGATAAAGGGATGAGGAAAGGAAGTGCAACAGATTCTAGACCTTCACTGAGAAAACCAGTTGGCTGTTCTAGCAGTACACACAACTCAGCAAAAATGGCTAGCTGTATGCCTTCAGGCTTAAATTCACACAACAAAATGTATCCTTTACAAAGGTATTGCTTTTAATGTGTGCTCAATTCCGTTTTATTGGATTGGCCTATAGAGGACACCATCTGGTATCTGTCATCCAAATCTACATGGACATGCTATCAATAAAATCCCCATTTCCAAAATGTGGGTTAGTTAAAAGTAGGGCCAGATTGCTGGCTGATATAAATTAGTCTGACTGATGTAGCTATGTTTTTACCAGCAAAGGATCTGACCTACAAAATCCCCACTTCAGATACTCTTTTGGGACAGAGGCAGTCTTTATATTCTCTGTTGCAAAGCATGTAGCACAGAGGACACAAAGCCATGAATAAAACACTCAAGGATTGTGATGGTACACATAATAAATAAGAATCTAATTGCAGCAACAAAAGATTCCTGTATTTATTCATATGTCAGAATAACTCATGCCTGTCATTCAGTGAATGGGCAGCATGCTTCACTGGAGAAAAGCATTCTCTGTAGAGCTGCCATCTTTAGGCAGAGCAATAAAGGCAGAGCTTATGCTATTGTTGGCCGTGTTATATCAGTTCATCAGATATAAGTTACACCAGAATCTCTAGACTTACTTTCCATAAAGACAGTATTTACCCCTGAAGAAATGCATTATTTCCCTTCCCCAACCTGGTGTGAAAAGAGGCCTTCTCACTTCTCAACTATGCAGAGTACTTTAACTTCATGAAGTGGCCCTCGATTATTTTTAAATGAATGAGCATTTCCACACAGTCAGACACTGATCCAAGCTTTATGAATTTGACTGAACCGGGACAGGTGACATCACTTATTTCTGCCCCTTTCGCTCCTGAAAGCGGAGGGGATTTTAGCAACAAACTATCCCAGAGATGAAATCCTGTTACAACTCAGGGCCCTCTGAAACTACACCAGGGTCAAGCAGAACAGCATCTGGCTGTAGGAGCTTTACTTACGTCGCTGAGCCTTTCCCGAGAGCTACTTCGATGGAAACCTTTTGATTCCCCGCTGGCGCTTTCACTGTCACTGTCTCGGCAGCTGTTCTGACCTGGCTTGAGCTGCAAAAAAGATAGAAAACAGAGAAAGCAAGAGTTTAGCCTGGCTCAGGTAAGTCCCCTGCAGCTGCCACAGGCATAGCGGCTCTTGGTGCACGACAGCTCCCAAACACGTTGAGAGAGGAAACCAGCACATCCCAAGGAGACCACAGAGTAAAACCATCATTTTGTGACCTTCTAGTTGTCTTAAGTTATTTATGCCATAGAAAATGTTTTGTAAAGTTATCATCAGAACAAAGAACACCTGGGATCAATCCTTCCCTCTTTACAGCATTGAGGATCTCAGATCAATGGAAATCTCCCCAGGGGACAGAACAGCCTTTGCTGCACTCATTCCTGACAACATTACCTTGTACCATAAAACCTTCTTGGCTGACCTCAGTGTTCGTAAAACACAGAACCATAGAATGGCTTGGATTGAAAAGGACCACAATGATCATCTAGTTTCAGCCCCCCGCTATGCGCAGGGTCGTCAAAAAACATGATCTATTTATCAACTATTGGATTGGTTTTGCTTTTCAAACCCTTTTCAATGAACGTTACTGGCATGGCAATACATAAAAAAATACAGAAAAATAATAACGAGCTATATATTCAAGACAATTGAGAACACCTGCATGTTGTGCAGGCCAATGTATTGAAATGGCATTGTACTGAAGTGAGCATCTCCCATACATGTACATTATACATAAACCCACACATACACGTATATACAACAATAGGATGATATATGAATACACCTACTGCAATGCTGGAACTGTACCCCTTTCTTCTGACACATTGTTCCTTACATATTGCCAGCACTTTTTAGAAGCTAGCTTTAACCTTTTGGGTGCCTTGTTTGAACTGACTATGATAAAATTGTTTATTTCAGAGGTTGATGTTGACAAAAAGTCAATTTCAAAAATTCAGATTTAAAATCACAAACTAGAACTGCTGGCAGCTGAAGCAGATGAGGAGAAAACATACAGCAATGATCCTAATGAGTTTATAAGGCAGCTATGATTACATTCATAAAATAAACACTACCATATTTTGTAGTAATTTCTATTCAGACTGTACATAATTACAAGAATCACACTCATCTCCATTTCACAACTGGTGACCGAAAGTTCTCAACCCATGAATTTTCTCCACCATCCTTTCCCCACTTCTCTCTCTTCTCATTTCATTCTGGTTCACCCAAAAACACGCTGCACAAGCACACACAAAAATACACACTCACTTTGAGAGGCACAGGACACACACTTCTATCCTATATCCAGCCACACACATTGCTCCTCTCCCTCACTCCAGGAATACACTCAGGAATATCCTCACTCCAATGGCTACCATCAGTTTCTCCCAGTCACTGCAGCCAGTTGGGCAACAGCAAACTGCATATGAGTTCTGGTGTATGCAAAATGGCACTGATCAACCTTCATCTCTTAGTCCCATTTGGTAAGAAAAAAATAAACACGTTCAATGCTGAAAGCATATCTGCTTGATGCTCTTGTACATTACTCTTTCCAAGATGTCACAAAGGCTAAGACCTGCATGGCTTACAAGAGTTCTAAATCTTAACTGGGGCTCTTGTGTCTTGGTCGCGTGTTGCACCAGAAAACAACTCTATTGGGTGTCCTCTGGGGGTTTCCATTCCTGATCTTGTGGCATCTTTTCAGCCATAGATATTAGGAAGAAGTTTTTCACCCAGAGGGTGGTGAGGCACTGGAACAGGTTGCCCAAGGAGGCTGTGGATGCCCCATCCCTGCAGGCATTCAAGGCCAGGCTGGATGTGGCTCTGGGCAGCCTGGGCTGCTGGTTGGTGACCTGCACACAGCAGGGGGTTGGAACTGGATGAGCACTGTGGTCCTTTTCAACCAAGGCCATTCTATGATAGGTGTGACAACAGCAGAGCAGGGTGATATTACTTGATATTATACAATCAAAAGCCAATTTATAGAATCATAAAATCACATGGTTGGAAATGACCTGCAAGATCACCTAGTCCAACCGTGCTCCCATAACCACTGCTACCACAAGCACTAAACTGTAGCTCTTCATCCACACACCTCTTGAACGCTGCCAGGGACGGCGACTCCACCACCTCCCTGTGCAGCCATTCCAGTGCCTGACCACAGTCTGAGAGAAAAAGTTTTTCCTTATTTCTAATCTAAACCTCCTCTGGTACAACTTGCAGCCATTTCCCCAGGTCCTGTTCGTTGCCTGGGAGAAGAGGCCAAACCCCTCCTCACCACAGCCTCCCTTCAGGAAGTTGTAGAGCAATGAGGTCTCCCCTGAGCCTCCTCTTCTCCAGACTGAACAATCCCAGCTCCCTCAGCCACTCCTCACAGGACTTGTGCTCCAGACCCCTCACCAGTTTCATTGCCCTTCTCTGGACACGCTCCAGGGCCTCAATGTCTTTCCTGTAGTGAGGGGCCCCAAATTGAACACAATACTCAAGGTGCGGCCTCACCAGTGCTGAGTACAGGGGATGATCAGCTCCCTGCTCCTGCTGGCCACACCATTTCTAATGCAGGCCAGGATGCCACTGGCCTTCTTGGCCACACTGTCGTCTCATGTTCAGCTGAGCATCAACCAACACCCCCAGGTCCCTTTCCTCTTCACAGACATCCAGCCACTCATCCCCAAGCCAGCAGTGCTGCATGGGGATTCAGTCATGTGAAAGTTAAGCCAGTGGGCATTTAAGAGCTGCAAAGTTCATGGTGGAACAGCGAAGTCACAACAGACACCCAGAACACTGAAGAAGCTGCAGGAAACTCAGCAAACTCCCCCAAACCCTGCACCTCCTCCTTCTGCAGGGAGAAGGTCCAACGCCTGGCAAAGATTTAAACTGAGTAATAAAAATAAATAAATAAATAAATAAATAAATAAAGGCAGTTTTGCCATTCTCTATCAGCCAAGTGAAAGGACAAAGTACACAGAACTCAGATGAACAATTAAGTCGCGATGCATAACTGAAAAAAAAAAAAAAGGCACAACAAAATGCACAGGTGCACTCTCAGCTCAAAGAAAACATAAGAACTTGAGCTATTCGTCAAACGCTTACAATTTAATAAATAAACAAAATATTCCACAGCCCAGCCAGAAAACCTCAAGTAAAAACATTTTTATTTCAAATGGAATGGTTTATCAGACAGATCTAATAGATTTAGGTCATATTTTTGGAGGCGGTGGAGAGGATAACAAATTCAAGAAGTCTAATGCTCCATATATAACTCCCAGATTTTATCAGGGACCTTGATGTGCTGTAATTATACGGTCCCAGGTTTAAAATTTAACCACCCAAAGGAAAATGGATCAAATTTCCCTGACTCAGTCTTTTGTCAACAGCTGCTCAACGATGGTTTTTCCACTGTTATTGTAATGAGGAAGAAAGAGGGGAGGAAGAGAATAGGTGTCATTCTTCTGGAAACACCTCACAAGCATTAAGAGATACAACCAAGGTATCCAAGTCTGAAACACTGTGGGAACAAAGAGCGCTGTACAGACCAGACAGAAAACTCAGAACTAAGCCCAAGATCAGATTTATAAGCTTTTCATGTTTTCCTTTCTTTTGTTCTGAGTTGCTCCATACGCCAAACTGTTGAGAGTTTAAATTTTATTGCAAAATCCATCAATCTGTGCTAAATTAAAAAAAAATAATAATAAAGCATGGAAATGTGCCCACTGCCTTATGTAAGAACTCTGTTACACACAAACGCACATGAGAACACTTAATGCGGACAGGCAGCGGTTCGTTTTAGCCTCTTCATACAGATTCTACTGCTTAAAGTGATGCTGAAGTGATCAGAAATGCTAAGAAAAGATCTGTAAGACTGGATTTTCAGTCAGCTGCAGGTCCCTGGTGCACTGCTCTGGGGCACATGGCATCCTTAAAAAGCTTCCCCCCCAAATATAAATTCTCCTGCATGGAAGACATCTCAAGTGCTACATTCACAGCTTCTGCTCTTGCACCAGTCTTTTCAGGGTGACCAATGAAAAAACAAAGTCATACGGCACTCCCATGGTACCTACGCAGTGTCTGACTGAGGACTTCCCAGCATCTACACAGATTCTTCTCACTTGCACCAAGCCAGGAACAAAGAAGGGATGGCAAAAAGAAAGCGTGGCTCCACACTTGTGATGGCAATGAATATCCACACACTGGGCTCCTATAAAGGTCTCACACAGAGAAAATACAGTTTTTTCAGTCCCAATCCCCAAAAACACGGAGTGCTGCCGACTCACAAAGACCTCAAGGCCTTCCCAATGGGAGAAGCACAGCAATGAAGCCAGAAGTGGGATGCTCTGGGCATCCAGCAGACACCCACATCTCCCCATCTCCCCTTTGTACTGGTGGGGATTCCCAGCATCACCTCACCGTATTTCTGGAAAACTTTTCTCCTGCTGTAGAATCTATTGGTTTGTATTGTCTTTAAGTTTGTTGGACAACACTGGAAGTCAAGTGGATAACTGCTGCTTTTTTTTTTTTTTTTTTTTTTTTTGTAATGAAAAGGAAGAAAAATCAAATAAGCTCTGGCAGGACAGCTGCCGGCAGAAGTTTGGCATCAGGTTTTATTTCTGATTCTATCTCCCCACACCTCATTCCCTCTCCAGAAACTGAAAATAATCGCAGGCTCTGTGTTCCGTATTCCCAGTTCTTCTTTTTGATGCTGAACAATCACAGGTTTTCCCATGGATTTTCTTAACAGAAATCTGATTTGCACGATTTACATCAAACAGGCAGGAGTGAATGCATAACTCCAAATAGTCCTGACTAGAAGAAGTAGATACAACTACAAATCCAAGTTTCTTTTAGTTTCAGAAAATTAAAAGGGGACGGTCACAGGTTATCTCCACTATCATTATGTCTTTATTTGCTTATGTATTTATGTGGGTATTTATTTACTTCTGACCAACAGAGATTTTTGAGCTATGAGAAAAGCACTACTGAGGTAGTCACACTCGTAAGTAGCCATCCTTATGAGAAGGACACAGAGGCCCTGGAGCGTGTCCAGAGA